CACCCTGTGGCTCGTCTACTACCGTGCCTACCATATGAAGGCGGCTAGCAAGCAGCTCACGGCCGCTAAGAAGAAGGCTTCGGTTACTGGCTACGATGTGACCTCTCTGAAGCTGGCTTTCACTCACTTTGGTTTCCGTATCGTGGCTACCGCTGGTGGATGGTTCGCCAATGATGTCTTCTTCTACGGTAACAAGCTCTTCCAGAGTGAGTTCATCAAGGTGATCAGCCACGAGACTACATCGATTATGCCCACCTGGCTTTGGAATTTGTGCAATGTCGGTGTGTCGCTGGTTGGTTACTATCTTGCATCCTTCCTTATCGACAACAAGCTCTACGGGCGTAAATGGATGCAAATCGTCGGTTTCATGATGGATTTCATCCTCTTCATCGTTCCCGCTTTCCATTTCCATTACTACAAAGAGCCGGCGCACATCAAGGCTTTCCAGGCCATGTACTTCCTGAGTTCCTTCTTCAACCAGTTCGGTCCCAACTCGGTCACCTTCCTGGTTGCTGCGGAAGTCTTCCCTACCCCAATTCGTGCCACAGCTCACGGCCTGTCTGCTGCCGCCGGTAAGCTGGGTGCTCTCTTGGCATCCGTTCTGTACAACTATATCGACACCCAGACCAAGTTCTACGTTGTACCTTGGTTCGGTCTGGCGGGTGTGGTCCTGACCTGGCTTTTCCTTCCTGATACTACTGGTCTTGACCTGAAGGAGCAGGAGCGTCGCTGGGAATACATCCGCTCTGGTCGTGAACACGAGTATCATGGTCCTGCTGTTCATTCCAAGCATTTGTCTGTCTGGGAGCGCCTTCGCGGAAAGGGCAAGTACTACGATGCCGAACTCGACTACAAGCAGAAGGTCGAGGAATTCCGTGCCGAGTGGGAGGCTGCCATGGCTCGCAAGGTCTCTGAGAAGGACAAGGGAGAGGAGCTCGGGTTCGACACTGACGAGTCTCTGCTTGAGGGTCATGTCCACTCTTACTTCCACCGGACCAGCCCCATGTTCCGTGGTATGGAAAAGACCGCCAAGTCGGATAACTTCGCTCTGCCCCCTGCCGCACAAGAAGGTGACTCCACTGATTCTTTCAATGAGAAGTCACAACACTAGAGCGCCACCACGAATTTCACTTCTCTGAAAATAATTCAGCTTGTATATTCCATTTCTTCTTTTTTTTTCTTTGCGGGAAGGGTCTCTCTTCTCCATTCCTCCTGTTCCTGGGAAAAAGAGTTTGTTTTGCTACTATTGATACATACCCTCTCGGCGTGATTGTTGCTTGGTACTGTTGGATTAATGCTCTCATACCTCCCTTTCCGGTTCAATGTCTCGAGATGATTGGACTGGTTATCATTTGTGAATAGATCTGAATTCTCCTCTAGAGACCCACTTGGGTAATGAATCTCCAACGGCTCTTTCACTTAATGATACCTATAACTTCTATCGATTTCCCTGTCCGGTCTTGTTCTAGAGTACGGAGTAGTGATGATCATGATACACGCAGTAAACTTGCGGAACCTTCAATCCTTCATCATTTCCAGAACCGGAAAACACGTGATCTACCCCATATTAGATGAATTATGCCAGCCAGAAAAGAAGGACTAGTGCATTAATAGTAGGCGCTCAAGGAGGCGGTGAGTTCAATTGCTGTTTACACTTACGGAGTACACCCATCGAGGTCTGGACTTCAACACTTCTCCATCGGCCATGATTCCATGGTACTGTCTCGAATCTTACACCTAAGTGAAAGCGATACTGAGCCAGAGCGTCAAAGCAAAGCCATTTGACATGCCGCTCTTTGCATTCGGCTCGAACGGATCGGGCCAGTTGGGCATAGGACATGGTGAAGATATCTCAGTGCCCACAAGATGCCTTTTTGAAGGAGGTCAAGCATCACCTTCTGAAGAGGGAAATGGCACGCAGGCGAAGAATATCTCCCGTATCGTTGCCGGAGGAAATCATACCCTCATCTTGTATCAAGACGGATCGGTATATGCCGCCGGCTGTAACGAGGATGGCAGATGCGGACACAGCCCCGCAACTGCGTCGCTGCAGATGTTTAAGCGGGTAATTGTCAATAGTGGAGATGATGGTTTTTACTATGGCACGTTCAAGCACTTGTCGGCGACGTGGGAGGGGACGTTCCTGGTTGCTGGATCTGAGGATCCGTCTGGCGAGGCGGACAGTATATTTGTGGTTGGTTCGGGAGCGAAGGGAGAGCTAGGACTTGGACAGGGATACATGAAGGCTGTTGAGCCGACAAGGATCCCGAATTTTCCTCCTCGAGGGATAAACATTGTGTCGATTGCCAGCGGCATGGGGCATACGGTTGTGGTGTTGTCGAATGGAGAGGTTTATGGCTGGGGAGGAGCTAGGAAGGGTCAACTTGGAGAATCGGCCAAGGGTATGAAGATCGTATGGTGTCCTATAAAGGTGGAAGGGATTTCCTTCCACGCCAAGGGTGCGGTTTGTGGTCGCGAGTTCACAGTAATTTCCGGCAACAGGGCCGCAGGGGAATATGCCATTATTGGCTCATGCGATAACAAGTGGAATATTCTGTCTGATGCTCCTGCATCCCAATCTTTGACAAGCTACCGAGGTATAGCAGCCAGTTGGCATGGTGTTTATGTACATCAGAACGACTTTTCTGTCATCGCCTGGGGACGGAATGATCGCGGCCAGCTTCCTCCTCCGGGGCTGCCCCGGTCTCAGAAACTGGCCGTGGGAAGTGAACATGTTCTCACGCTTCTTGATGAGCAGACTGTTGTGGCATTTGGATGGGGTGAACATGGCAACTGTGGCCCTGTGACCGACGCGCAAGGCAACGTCAATGGAACGTACAAGCAAATTCCGCTTGAGATGCTGGAGGGCTCTAAGGTTGTCGGCATTGGTGCAGGCTGTGCAACGAGCTGGATTGTAACATCCTGACCACCCTGCAACTTGCGAGAGCCACAAAATGTAATGACTGGTCGAGTCAACTTGGAGACTGGATCCGGTGTGATCCACCTACTGAACTTTTCAATTGACGACAGCGGACATCAACATCCTAATCGAAAAGGCCGAGACCACGAACCTGCTGATTGTTAGCTCGTCCTTGGAGAAGAGGGGCTGACCAACCTGTGAAATGCGTTGTGTTGGAGGAATGCCCGTTTCTGCCTGAGGCTCTTGCTGGTTTGAGTCATTTGGCAGAACGGGCTCAATATCTCGCAAGCGAGGTCCTAGGCTTGCGTTGAATGTTTCCTGAAAAGCGCGATCAATGATTATCCTCCAAAGTGCGGCCTCCGAGTCCTTACCTGGTCAGCTGTAGCGTCCCAGCCAAGTGTGTCCTCAGCCATAGTCTCGTCCTCCTCATTCGGCACATCCCACTGTCTGTCATCATCCGCTGGGACAAACAGACTGTCGAAGTGAATGGATGGTGGCGGTGGCTGCTGACTCTCAACATTAGTCTCTTTGACGCGGGTGGTCGTCCCAGTGAGCGGTCGAATTGTTCGACTGCGAGGAGGTGGCATCTGTTCGGTATTCGAGGCAGCATTGTTCTGAGAGACGTGCACCGGGGCGGGCGTTTGTCTTGCGGACAGCTCGGGAACGGCTGCTCGTGATGATGGGAAGTCCTCACTATCATGTTCGCCTGTCGTCATCAAGGTGAATTCGGTCCTGACTCCCTCGAAGTTATACGCAAGCTGCAGTGGTCTACATGGGCGAGTGTACCGAGCGGTGATCAACACGCCTGTTGTCTCTGCGTGGGTTATAATCGCTTTGAAGTCCTTCAGAGTAATGGCAATATGAAGTTCATCTTCAGCCGAAAAATCCTCAAAGTCTCTTTTATCGATAGCCACGGAAGTGTGTACTGGTTGTTTGAGGATTTCTGCAAGCAGACTAGTCAGTTTCAGTTGGTCAATAGAGCTACTCAATGGCACAGACCTTGCCCGTCAGTGATCTTCGTTGTAAAGCTTGTAAAGATGGCCTTGCCACCATCGGAGTAGATATCCAGTTGCTCTGCTGACGGACTAAAATGATCGGTAATTTCCTTCAGAAACCTGGGCTCAATACTCCACTTATTAGTTGCGCTAGACCTGTCGAAGATGGCATGTTGAATGGTAGTCGGTTCATAAGTGAGCTTGTAAGTCCTGATGACGCCTGCCGAGTCAAGAAAGCCATCTGATAAGTACTTTGAACCCCTCATTGACGAAGATAGACTGCAAACACGCACCCAGTCCACAGATCATTCTAATGGCAAGCCTACATTCTGTCTCGTCCGGATCTTCGTTGATTTCAAACTCGCACCGTTCGACCGCTGTATCCTTATCCCGTCCAGTGGTTCTCCCTTTGAAGATGGACAGCAAAGCCTTTCTTAGTCAGCCTCACGACTCAATGCTCGGTTCTGGGCCACTCTCACTTTGAGATAAATCTGGCAGCAGAATCTGTCTGAATGGACGTTTTCGCTCTGACCATCATGCCTGAATGAGTAAGTTGTGAAGAAACTTGCTCCGTCGAGGACAAATGCAGCATATGCGGTCTTGCTGGAGTTGATGACGCTTAGTCGAAGCTACAATTTTCGTCAGTCGTGACAATCATTGAGCTTCAAATAATAGGTACTGTTTGGTCTCACTAAAGCAGATTCAGCCTCTATAGAGACCGTCTCGCTGAATTTGGCCAGACATAAAAGGGCATCATGCATCCGCCCTAATGCCTCCGGGTTGAGGGAGGAAAATAGCGATGTCATGACCGTCTCTAAAGGGACCAGGATGCGAAATTCCAGCGTTATTGAAATGTCATCATCCTATAGCTGGAAACCTATAATCATGTTGTTTTTTGTTATCGTCCCTGCTCGTCCACTCGTTCAATCGCTCCAAGTCACGACGCGAGCTTACATAATCAGGACCTGGAAGTAAGGCGTACTCGACCACAAGGCTTCAATTTTGAGCAATATGTTTACATGTTGCGTCTGATCGACGTGATTATCCGGACTTTCGACGGGCACGGGTGAAAATCCGCCGTGAGTATGGCCTCAACGTTGCCTGGTGACATTATCTACCTCATCGTCGAGATCCTGGGACAAGATAAGGACTTCAATAGTCTGTTCCAGTGTGCTGTGTCTGCCAAATGTTTCACTGAGCAAGCTATACCCACTCTGTATAAGTCTGTTCATACGTTTTGCGTTATTCGACTACAAATTTGCTGACCTTATGAATACAGATCACACGAACTCTCTCCTGTGAGAGGCGGCGGAATTGAACTTGGCACCCTGGACTCGAGCCATACCCGACGAAAATGGACGTCTATGTGGCGGTCTATTGTGCTTTCTACTCTTGATCAAACCTATCTTCCGTACTACAGTTACATTCGGTACTTGGACCTCAATGATTTATCGAATCTGCTCAGCCATAGTTCGTTCACCGGGAAGATCAAAGAGTATGTCCTGGCATGACTTGCGGGAACTGTATTTGACAAGATATAGCGAGTTCTTTACTCCAGAACTTCAGGACCTCGTGTCTCACGATTATGAGCTCAAGGGAAATAAGCGTCTTCGCTCACTGCGGAATCTGCCTGACAATGATTGGATCTTATCCAAGATTGGTACTGGTCAGTCTTCTCCCGGATGTACCGTGTCCAAGCTCCGTTGAATATGCAACCCCCCATTCATAGTTGTCCTTCTAAAAGCTAAAAGACCAAAGCTATTGTCAAAAGAACTACCTCGATACGCGGAATGTCCTGCGACAGTAAGTGGGAAGTCCGAAATATCAAGGAGAGGGGCCTCTGTTCCAGAAACAAGTTTGACGTCTCGACTTCTTCTAGTCGAACCTTCACTATTGGCCGAGTGGCTGGAAACACTGCCATTGTTACAAAGCCTGACTATCTGGTCTGGAGTCTCCCTAACTGACCATGCCGGTGACAAAATCCGAGCCCACTGCCCCGATTTCAAGCAAATCACGATATATCGATGGTAAGATATCAGAGTGATTTGACAAAGCAGTATACTCACTGAGCCGGCCAGGATCAATGAACGAGGCAGAAATTCTGAGACTGATGCTGAGGAGTTTCTTCACGGACTCCAGCCTCACAGTCTTGAGTACTTCGAGATGCTGAGCTCTTGTCACTTAGGACCACGCTCGATAAGAGCTATAGGCACACAGTTGAAATCACTGAAAGAGCTGAAATTGACAAGCCTTGGGATCGAAGCAATTGCAGAGCTGCCTTCATTAACAGCGCCACCAGTGCTGGAGGTGCTTGTCTTGACTGATTCAATACCAGCAGCACGGAACGAGGACTTTTATTCCACAGTTAAAGGAGTTGCTGATTGGATTGGTGGCTGCAAGGCCCTGCGACATCTGGAGCTTAGAAGATTTGTTGATGACACGTTTCTACTTGCACGAGTTCTGGTCGCCGAGGATATGCACCTGCTGAATTTGTCTCTGACTGGGTACACAATGGCTGGCAGTCGTGACTTCCACAGAGCTTTGGCCTCTCAAGATTCTCTGCAACGTCTCAGTCTTCGAGGTGAAGGGTGCGAGATTCCTGAAGATAATGAGTTGCTTGTCCAAGCCATTTGCCAGCTAAATAATCTGCGTGAACTTGAGCTCAAGGATATTTCCGATTATTTCACACCTGATCATCTAATGTCATTCACACCACATCTTTCCCATTTGGAGAAACTGTGGATCGGAGGAGATCTCTTCAATGACGATGTATGGAATGCATTTTTATGCCTTCCAAAGCTACGAAGTCTGGCCATCCATGCGCTCAGCGAGTTCACGGCTCAGGGTATACTCGATTTCATCGCTCAACTAGGGCCCGGTAACAGAGGAATGAGCCTCTCAATCTTGAACTCAATAACACCAAGTCTCACAGAGGAAGCACAGAGCTTAATTCGCAATATCTTGAAACACAACCTTGATGGGACCTTTGACTTCGGCCTTGCACAGGGTGAGCGCCAGCTCTCAGCCTGATAGATGATGCTACCTGCTGACTTGTGTAATGCAGAGGAATTCAGCGACACCGACTCAGAAGGGATATCGGATTGATTGACGATAACACGTCTTGGACGAGCCTGCTCGGAAACTGGAGTTACCTTGGGGCTCATATTTTTTTAATATGCCCAGGAGTAGAGAGTAGTTGTCAGCTTTTTGTAGGGCGTTCTCTGTGTTGCAAAGTCTAAAAATTCAGGATTATTCAACGATCTAGCCTTCGGCCATGATCTTCCCGAATTTACAACCGCGTAAGGTCGAATGTTTTCATTGGGATGATCATTTAATGGTCGGAGACCTAATAGACCAGCCCACTTTAACTGAATGGGGATTGGCGGAAGCGCGTCCAAACCGCGTCCCCAACGCGTCGTCATTTCCTTACGCGATAGCCCGCATGGACTGCCATCCCTTCCCCAATCCACACTATTCAAGGTTCAATCACTGGGCAATTGTAGAACCCAGTGAGTACCGGCGAAGTCATTGATGACCATCCATTGATAATTCAACCGAAATTATCGCGCCATGTCTGCCGCACGCGCGAAGTTGGCAGAGCTGCGAGCTCTGCGTGCAGCAGGAAAGAAACGTCTATCGACATACGAGATTGAAGAACAGGAAGACATCTACGAAGAGGTCGATGACGAAGGCTACAAGAAAATTATCCGTAATCGGCTGGACCAGGATGATTTCGTGGTCGACGACAACGGTGAAGGATACGCGGATGATGGTCGGGAAGTATGGAACGAACGAGTAGCGGACTACAACAGCGAAAGCGACGATGACGAGTTACCCGCGCGAAGTAAAGCCGCTAAAAGGAAGCGGGCAGAGGAGAAGCAGAGAAAAGAGAAAATCAACAATGGTATCTCAAAATACTTCAACAGTGGACCTGCTGCGTCTGCTCCGAAACCGAAAGTGAGTGTTATTTACTTTGCACGATGGCTGGGATCAGTTCTAATGGAAATAGCCGGTTGCCACGGCAGAAGATGATGCTTTCATGGCCGATCTCCTCGGAGAAGTCGATACCAATGTCGTTTCGAACCATATTCCTACACAGAACGTGATCAAGTCGGAAACTCGACGCAAAGTCCGCATTCTTTCCCCTCCGTTAGCCTCGAAGCCACGAAACGAGAGGATCAGCAGAAAGGACGAGAACAGCGAGCCGGTCTCGCCCGTCAACCAAGCACCGGACCTTGAGTTCGAAGACGACGATGGACCACTCCCTACAATGGATGACGGCGACGTGGCCATGAGTGATCCTATGCCGTCATCCCCCATCAGCAAAGCAGTTGAGCGAAAGTCGAGTGTCAACGTAAAGAAGGAAGAATCTGATGAAGAGGATAATGATCTCATGGAGATTGCTCCAGCAACGGGACAAAGTGAAGCCAAAATGACGAGCGTTAACATGGCTGGAAGCCGTCCGCCTCCGAAGATAAAGAAGGAGAATTATACAACTCCTGACAACTCTTCTCCCGCGAAAGCACCTGTGGACGTTCTGAACGCTTCTTGGAATGACGTCCGGAGTAAACTGAACGTCCTTAGCAGTCCAGCAACGGAATCACGGGCTTTCGGTAAGCTTCGTGCACAGGATGTAATCGAAGAAGACGGAAGTTTGCGCATGTTTTGGCTCGACTATACGGAGGTCAACGGGAGCTTATGCTTGTTTGGCAAGGTGAAGAACAAACAGACCGGTTCGCATGTCAGTGCTTTCGTCAAAATCGACAATATCCTACGAAAGCTCTTTTTTCTTCCTCGCGAGTACAGACATAAACATGGTCGAGTGACCGATGAGGAGGTGGATATGAAAGACGTCTATGAAGAGGTTGACGAGATGATGTCTAGGCTCAAAGTCGGGATGCATAAGATCAAACCGTGCACACGCAAGTACGCATTTGAATTGCCTGGTATTCCCAAGGAAGCAGAGTACTTGAAGTTGCTCTATCCGTACGACAAGCCGACATTACCGATGGAAACCAAGGGTGAAACGTTCTCTCATGTGTTCGGAACTAACACCTCTCTCTTCGAGCAATTTGTGCTCTGGAAGAACATCATGGGTCCATGCTGGCTCAAGATCGAGGATGCCGATTTTACAGCTGTCAACAATGCATCATGGTGCAAGTTCGAGTGCCAGGTTGCTAGACCTGCTTCCATAACACCTGTGCCTGACACCGAGAATTTGGAGCCGCCGCCCCTTACACTCATGAGTCTTGCTTTCAGGACTCAACTTAATGTAAAGGAGAACAAGCAAGAAATTTTGGTGGCAAGTGCACGTGTTTATGAAAACGTCTCACTCACAGACACTACTCCTCCCGAGAGACTCCCTTGCAAGACGTTCACTGTCATGCGACCAGTTGGCTCTTCGTACCCACTTCATTTCGAGGCTGAGACACGCAACCAACGAGGCACTTTCATGCTGGAAAAGAGCGAACAATTTCTGCTAAGCAAATTTCTAGCATTGTTCGAGAAAATGGATCCTGATGTCCTTATGGGACATCAATTACAAGAAGTCGACCTCAGTATTCTGCTCAGTCGCTTAAAAGAAAAGAAGACCCCCGGATGGCATCGCCTTGGACGTCTAAAGCGTGGCGAGTGGCCCAAGAGCTTCAACAAAGGCGGAGGATTCTTCGCTGAAAGGCACTTGATCGCTGGAAGATTAATGTGCGATGTAGCCAACGACATGGGAAAGGTAAGATTTTCATGGCAATAAGCCGAGGATTGTACGTTAACATCACCAGTCTCTCATGATGAAATGCCAATCATGGAGCTTAACAGAAATGTGCGAACTCTACCTTGGAGACGGCAATTCACGGCAGGAACTGGATACTGAGGCGGCATTGAAGACTTGGGCTACCTCCAAAGAAGGTCTCATGAACTTTGTGAACCACTGCGATGCAGACACCTACTTTATTGCTGCGCTGGTGTTACGGCTGCAAATGTTGTCGCTCACCAAAGTTCTCACAAACATTGCTGGCAATTCCTGGGCCCGAACCCTCAGTGGTACTCGCGCTGAGCGTAACGAATACATCTTGCTGCATGAGTTCCACCGAAACAAATACATCTGCCCTGACAAATACTCATCCAAGCTACAGAAGGCAGAAGAGAAAAATCAGGATGGGGACGATGATGATGCCGGTGACAAGAAGAAGAAGGACAAATACAAAGGAGGTCTTGTCTTCGAGCCCGAAAAGGGTCTCTATGACAAGTTTGTCTTGGTCATGGACTTCAACAGTTTGTACCCAAGTATCATCCAAGAGTACAATATCTGCTTCACGACCGTGGAGCGGACCGCCACGGTAAGCACTCAACTGATGACAAGCCCTACTCGCAACACCTACTAATGTGATTTCCAGGCCGAAAATGAGAATGAAGAAAAAGTGCCCGAAGTTCCTTCCTCAGATCAAGAGCAGGGTATTCTTCCTAAACTCATTGCCACGCTTGTTGGTCGCCGTCGCGAAGTAAAGAAATTGATGAAAGACAAACGCGCAACACCAGAACAGCTTGCTTTGTGGGACACCAAGCAATTGGCCTTTAAGCTGACCGCTAACTCCATGTATGGATGTTTGGGTTATACGCAGAGTCGTTTCTATGCTCGTCCTCTGGCCATGCTCACAACTTTCAAGGGTCGTGAGATTCTGAGGAGCACCAAGGAGCTTGCAGAATCAAAGCAGCTCCGCGTCATTTATGGTGATACCGACTCTGTTATGATTAACACCAACATGGAAACTATCAGCGATGCACTCAAGGTTGGCGAGGAATTCAAGAAATCCGTCAACGAACGATACCGGCTCCTGGAGATAGATATCGACAACATCTTCCGTCGCCTGTTATTGCACGCCAAAAAGAAGTATGCGGCTGTCAACATGACTGAGGTCGACGGGAAGTTTGTGGATAAGCTCGAGGTCAAAGGTCTGGACATGAAACGTCGTGAATACTGTGCCCTATCAAAGGAAGTATCTCAAAGACTTCTCAATGAAATTCTCTCCGGTGAGGATCAAGAGCTGGTTCTCAATCGGGTCCACGACTACCTTCGAGACCTGGCCGACAAAATGCGTGGATACCAGATTCCATTTCAAAAATACGTTATTTACACGGTAAGCTTGCACCCCCTGACGATCTCCTTTGTGTTGCTAATGCTCTCTATAGAAACTGTCGAAACGGCCAGAAGAATACCCCAACAAGGAGACGATGCCTCCCGCACAAGTTGCGCTGCGTGAGCTCGCCCGTGGCAAGACAATTCGACCCAACGACGTCATTTCGTACATTGTGACGAACGGAGACTCGGAGACCTCATCGCTACCACCTGCGAAGCGGTCGTACACCCTTCAAGATGTCATGAAATCCGATTCCGGTCTCAAGCCCGATATTGAATTTTACCTTCTCAAGCAGATTTTCCCTCCCATTGAGCGTCTTTGTGCGCCTATTCCGGGGACTGATGCAGTTCGGCTAGCTGAATGTCTGGGTCTGGATGTTCGCAAGTATCAGATCAATACGTCCAGTGGGAGCAACCAGCAGAATGCAGATATCTTTCCGTTAGAGTCACAGATTCCAGACTCTGTGCGTTTCGAGAATGCTGCTCGGCTTACGCTGACTTGTCGATCTTGCAAAGAGAAGTCTATCTTTGAGGGACTCGTGGCGTCGACTCACATGTGTACAGCCAACGGCATTGTCTGCCCTAACCAAGCATGTCAAAGGCCTTTCACCGTGCTGACGATAATTGCACAACTGGAGAGTCAGATTCGTGCTCAAACGTCAAAGTACTACGACGGCTGGCTGGTTTGTGATGACTCTGCATGCGGCAACCGAACTCGTCAAATGAGCGTTTATGGGCATCGATGCCTCGGGCCTCGTGGCCGCGCCGAGGGCTGCCTTGGACGTATGACGTACGAGTACTCAGAGAAGCAGATGTACAACCAATTGCTTTACTTTGCAGGTCTTTGGGACGTGGACAAGGCTAAAGCCAATGCCCAGAAGGAGGCCAGCGGCGAAAAGAAAGACAGCATCGCAGCGCTGGTCGAATTCAATCGCACTCGCTTCGGCACCATCAAGGGTGTGGTGGATGGCTATCTGAAGAAGTGCGGCCGACAGTGGGTTGAAATGGATGCCCTTTTCCGGTTCATGCTTCCGTAAATGATTTTGCTGTCATGCGATATTTGACTGGGGTCATTGGAATTTGTATATACAGGGACATTTGGATGGTTTGGGCTCTCGTCTGCGTCATTGTGGATAGCGTAATGATTTCACTGTTTGTATGATGACTGGTAGCATTTCTTCGCTTGGCCAATGCATGAATGGCATTCTGTAATATTCAAAAGGAATTGAGTCAGCGAGTTCATCGTACGTCGCGAGTCTCTCGCTTGAGACTGGTTCTGCTTGTCCAGTTATCAGATTCCAAACGAACCAAGTTCCCTCGTACACGTTCTGCAAGACATCTGACCAAGTAACAAAAGACTCTCAACTCACTAGGTCAAATTCGCGATTCTTCATTAAACTCCATCATGTCGGTCAGCTCATCACAGCTGAAGATGCCTGAGGATTGTTAATCGGCTTGGAGATCATCCACCGAAACAGTGCGAGATCTCGAAGCCTAAAGGTGCGCCAGGCCTGCTGTCAGATCCACTTGGTACCAGAATTCTATCAGGTAATAGACCACCATCACGAGAGCGTTCCTTCAACTGGTCGAGGGCAGGCTGATCAGCCTTTTCTTTTCGATGATACCATCACACGAACTGTAGAATCACCCACGCAGTTGCCAGTAGTCTCGATCCACACTGCGCGTGGCACATTCGTTTAGCTGGCAGCAGAAGGACAGACTACCCCCTGTGCAGGAAATGGATGCACGGTAGGTCTAATAATACTTCCTACAAGGCCAATCTCTCGTCCTGCCCGATGCGTACTCGCCGTTTCCCGAGTGGAAGCCACGTCTTCATCCGGAGTATGTCAGAGCGCGGGGATGAGAGTCTTAGAAGCCTTGCTAGTACCCTAGATCTCCTAAAGAGCTCTAACGCTAGCTGAGTAGTTGGGTTCCCGATCCTGTTACGGTCTGCCACTTTCAGGCGGCGGAGTTTGGAGTGTTCGCTGCGAGTATGTGTGCAGAGGCTTCTTTGGGGAAGCTTTGTACAGTTATGAATAAAAGGTAGACTCCGGATGGAGAGAGTCGCCGTATATCCTTCCTTGAGCACGGGATGGACTTTGCTCATGATCCCATGAGCCATACGCCCTCCACACACTCCTGAAGTTTTACCGATCCTGACGCAGTTCGGCCCTACACCAATCTCGGCCAAGTCCCTTACTAGGGACAGGGCAAGATAATGATACGACGAGTGATGGCTGCAACTTCGGCGATGTCCGAGAAGTGCTATTGAGCAATCCCAAACGTAAGATGCATGGTCTGCTTAGGTATCATCATTTTATACGGTATTTGGAATTGGAGACCGCAACTTGACAGGCCACCTCACTTACCATAACCAACCTTCACCACACTACTAGACGGCTGACTTCTCAGTAGCCTTAGTCTACGGTGCGACCCTGCCAACCCCAATGAAGAAGGTATCATCTTGTTGATATAGATTCCCGCTTACCCGTTTGGGTGATTCTGACCTTCCTGTTCGCGTTAGATACATTCTCTCTCGCCCGAGTGATCTACGGAATAACCCCTGAGATATCGCTACGTAGCATTAATAACTTGAACACTTGGCTAATGCTTGGTAATGCTTGATGGTCTACAGAGTAGGCGCTAAGCTAAAGGTGACCGAGCTTCTGGAGGAGCCGCACACCCACGATATCAAGGCAGCCCACCCCCTTCTACAGTTCCCCAGCAACTTCTTCTCATGCGAACCTACCTGTAGGTGAGCAATGGCTACGGCCGGTAACAATTGAGTCTTGCTGGCTAGTCTACATGTTCGTTTGTATAAAATCTAACCATCCTTTGCAATCATTTAGTTTATTTATGCATCAGTACTAGCTAGGTCTACTAAACTGGGTGGAAAGTACTATAGCTATACTAGTTTCAGAAAAGGCCTCCAACACAATGTGCCTATTAGTTCATTTGGGGGTAAGAAAGGAAAATAAAGAACCAGATACATGACGGCGTTCTCCGACACTCAAACTGGCAGGATACACATGGCTCTCTTACTACTACTCTTTAGTGATTTTTTAGTATACAGACTAGCAGGGCCTACTCCTAGTCGACGCGAGATTCTAGGTAATAAGGATCTTGCATGCAATCCCGGCTGCTTGTACCTAACCATGACCAAGGGTTGTATTTAAGATGGGATAAAATATCTGCAAGGATGTGGGTAGGCTGCTGGCGATGGGTATTGGCCTTCCTTATCTGATCTATAGGTATGGTGTCTATTGACCAAGTCCACCACGCATGATATCAACAGTTTTGAACCTGAGGCTTGCATGGCATCTGTTAAACAAAGTTGGAGGAGCTGTCCTGTTAACTGAAAAATACAGTTATTCTATGTCAGTCCGCCATTTTTGCCCTAATCATGCTGAGGTTGTAGCCAGGCCATCCTACTTCAATATCCGCCGTCTTTCATTGTTTTCCTGATTTGGCAATAGCTTCTGAGACATTTGTATGAAGGATGGAGGCCAATAAGGAGATGCTTCCAGGCCTCGTGGGATTGCCTCCTTCGCATATAAATATAGCCTAGATTCGCATAGATGTTGGCTATTCAGACCTTCCATCTTCTTTTCTAAAGACCCCTATAGCTGACTCTCCAGAGACTTTGAATACGACGCCAATTTCCGTTTCCACAATCCACCCTCAGTCTACCAGACAGCAATCACAAGACTTTCGCAACTCCGGCGACTCCAAACATGTTATTCAACCAAGTTCTGAGCCTTGTCTCCCTCGTCGCTCTGCCTTTGGTAGTCAATGCCAGTTGCAACGTCCACTTCTACTCGGCCTCGGGCTGCTCTGGCTCCTCGACCGCCTCTTGCGTCCCTGACGACACTTCGGACGGTAGATGCTACTGGACCACGTGGGTTGGCTCCATCTATTTCGAAGGCTGTGATGCCAATGAAAACGTTGCATTTGTGGGCTGCAACGGATCGCCTTATACCTGCGCCAATGCCTGGAGCATTGACGTTCCGCCCACCTTCAGCGGCTGTTCGGAGATTGGAACCTATGATGGCTTCGCCCACACCTACGACCCCAACGACACTACTTGCTCGGACTGTGTTGGCACCAAGCATTGAATATGATTAACTATGTCGGTTTGATTGATTGACGAGAAGGCCTTGGATAGGAGAGAGGGGGGGTGGATCTGGAAAAGAAAAGTGACAAGCTGTATTGGAAATATGTTGGTCTCCATGTACATTTGGCTACATCTTCTCTCAAATTAGTGTGCTGGATTATGCCTTCCAGCTTGAAAACTTTCTAGGCTTGATCCATCTTAGTATGTATACATGCGTAAAGCACCTTCTGCCACTTTATGAATATACTAACCCATTTTGCCTTCGCCTGCATGTTAAAGTTGATCCAGTCTGGATGCGCCTAATCTTTAGATATCATTGCCTCCTAAGCCTCTCTTTAAAGGGTTGAGCATGTATATGCAGAGACATCTTTATCATGATGCAAAATATAAAGCTTACTAAAGGTCTATAGAAAGATGACTTTAATAGCATTTAATAAAGCATCACTATTGTCTGTCATGATGGTCCATGTACCTGTAAGATCAAGATCATGATAGACCTAGTAGAGACATTTAAGGGTGAATTCATATGACTCCTACTTCTTACTTAATAGGAAGGCAAATCAACAGAAAGTTAAGTGAGTAGCACTGCTTCCCATGATGTCTAGTAATGGTGTCTTAAAGCTATTTGTCTTGTACGTACAATCCATAACGAGATTGTATGGATTGTGCTTTAAGAGCTCCAGACTGCTTTTATAGATGCATAAGAGGGAAGCAAGATATCATCTTCATCTGTCTGCAAGTTTATCTAATCTTCTTTAGGGAGAGTTATATAGGGAGAGTTATAATCAAACGCTGTACAGGTGTAAGGCCTTCAAAGAATCCTTATGAAGCCTCTGGCAAAAATTATAAACATCCTGCGGCTGAATATTGCTTCCCTCTGTATTGATAGAAGAACTTGATGTGTATTCGTTCTGCTTTTAAACTGGTTCTCGATAAATGTGGTCTGTTCTTGCACCTCAAGATGGCGGAGGTTTGAATGACTAGTTATAGGCGAAGGCTCATGATTATGACCTGAATCAAGGACCTCGATTGTCCATTTATCAAATGCCTTTGAGTATTTGCCCTAACGGGCGACTCTGAAACTAGGTGGAAGGGTCAGTTAGGGTGATCTATCTTATCGGCCTCTTATCGAATAAAGCCCCGCAATGGAATTTTCCCCACTGATGGGAGGTGGACTTGCTGTTGGCACTTGGCACTTCTCTCATCCTAGTGCCATGCGTTCTACAACGCATCCAATCATTCTCAGACAAACTCGTTGAATCAATTATCCCCATCGGCCGTTCTGAATCGATCAGCCCGATCTTGCCATCCCTATCATGTCCGTCAAGCGGGTTTTGGTCATCGCCGGCTCGGACAGCTCAGGTGGCGCGTATGTCGTCGTTTCCTAAGAAAAGAATGTAAATATCCGACTAACGCTATGAAATGAATCAGTGGATTAGAAGCTGATCAGAGGGTTCTCGCTGCTCATGGTGTTTATGCTCTGACAGCGACGACGGGTTTAACGGCCCAGAACACCTTGGGGGTGCAAGACATCTTTATCGTCCCTGCACAGTTTGTGAAGAAGCAGATCAATGCTGGGTTGGAAGATGTGGGAGCAGATGTTGTCAAGTTAGGTATGAGTATTAGGCTTCGGGCTTTATTTCCTTTGTTACTGTCGCCTTTTTTCCTGAATTCTACTCGTCTGTCCGGCAATTGCAGCTAAGTGAGACGCAGGGATGCTCTCCTCTGCAGAGACAATCGATGTCATCGCTGAGGCCTTGACTTCGCATCAAATCCCCTCCGTGGTTTTGGATCCGGTAATTCTATTAGTGTGAATTGTTCGAAGTAAGATATCTGAGATCAAACGCATAAACAGGTTATGGTCTCTACGAGCGGGTCTCAATTGTTGCCCGAAGTAGCTGTTCAAAGTCTGCGCACAAAGCTACTACCCCTGACGAGCATCCTCACCCCTAACGTCCCTGAAGCGAAACTCTTACTAAAAGATGCCGGACTGGACGTACAAGAACCGAAGGACCTCTCCGACCTCATTCAACTCGCAGAGCAAGTTCGTGCTTTGGGTCCCAAGGCCGTCCTTTTGAAAGGCGGTCATTTACCGCTTACAGCCGCCCACAAGGCGGCGCAGAACCCGGAAGATGCGTCAACAGTGATCGATATTCTGTATGACGGAGAGAACGCGACCCTCTTTGAGACTGACTTCCTGGTGTCCAAGAACACTCATGGCACGGGCTGCTCTCTGGCGTCGGCCATCGCAGCCAATCTGGCTCTTGGGAAAGATCTGACACGAGCAGTTCACAGTGCTGTCCGATTTGTCGAAGCGGGAATCAAGACAAGTGTTGATATGGGCAAGGGAAGTGGGCCAATCAACCACTTTCACTCCGTGTATTCCTTGCCTTTTGCGCCGTAGGTCCTGCTATCCTAATTTCCTGGCCCATGCGACTAACGCAACCTCAGCGGCCGTTTCCTGGAGTATGTTCTCGCCCGACCTGATGTCCGTCCGATCTGGAAGAAGTTTACAGAACATGATTTTGTTCACGGCCTGGGCAGCGGCAAGCTCCCTGTGGAGCGATTTAAGCAATACTTGGTTCAAGACTACCTCTACTTGGTAAGGATCCCTGGACACTTTCGCCAGGCTGATCATCTGAAGATTGCTGACTTGCTGCTTCCTTCAGGTCCATTTCGCCCGCAGCAACTCGCTGGCTGCTTATAAAGGAAAATCCATGGCGTCTATTGCTGCGGTTAGTTTGCTCACCAAGAAATTGTATTCATTGAAAGGATCGACACTGATGCGACAAAACTTTAGTCTGCCAAGATCGTATTACATATCGAACGGGAGACAGCCTTGCACTTGAACTACTGTGCCTCCTTTGGCTTATCCAAGGCAGAGATGGAGAGTCATCCTGAAAGCATTGGTGAGTATTCAAGCTTTCAGCTGCTTGTTCTCTGAGTGCTGCTGACTCTCAATCTAGCCTGTACGGCATACAGCCGGTACATTCTCGACGTGGGACACTCTGAGGATTGGCTCGCACTGCAGATGGCTCTCGCACCCTGTCTCATCGGTTACGGAGCCATTGCCAAGCGACTGCACACTGAGAAACACACCCTTCGAGAGGGCAATCGCTACTGGCAGTGGATTGAGAATTATGTTGCCGAAGACTACACAGAGGCCGTCCGATTGGGATCTGGTAAGGATACAATTCCTCTTCGCGAAGCCTACGTGCCTGACAAAAGAGTTTTAGAACTACTGGAGACACACATACGACAGGCCTCACCCAGTCGGATGGAGGAACTGATCAAGATCTTCATCCGGGCAACGGAATTGGAAATCAGCTTCTGGGATATGGGATTGGGTGACCACTCACGAGCGCACATGACTTCATTAAGTACATAGAAATTTTGTATAGAGTTGACCTTTTAACTGTAGAATATATGATGGCAAGGTTAGACGATCTATCTGGGTAGCCGCCCATTTCCCTGCCTCCATAAGTTCCCACCGACCGAAGTACCGAGTCAAACTGAAGTACTCCAGAAGAAACAAGGATCCCATATAAACTCACCAACAAAATCAATCCTACAATTACCGGTTAGAATTAAATAGCCTGATTAACAAGCCATCTACCGCTGCCGAAATCCCTAGTCACCCCTAGTCCCAACTCCAGCAACCTCTAGAAACATCCAAGCGCAGACAACGATCAACTGCAACCCTTTTCTTTACAGTTCAAATCCTCGTCTATCCGGCATGTCTATCCTCCCCTCACTAGGACAGCATGTTTCCGACCTGCCTCATATCCCGCGTCAAACGCCGATCAAAATAATCGAAGAACGGAAGGCTACCTGCATCACCAAAGACTCAGAGATTTAAAATAACGTTAAACTCATGGGTCTCTGGCTGTGACAAATCCAACGTATGTGACCTTGACTCAGTGATGCTGGAAGCTTTGAAACAAGACTACCCGGAAATTGTCTTCGAACTATTACCTTGCGGGTTGCCAATGCACTAGGATTATGCTTTAGAGGCAATAAAGCATAAATCAAAGAACACGCTCAACATCTTCCTCCAAAACAAATGGGACATCAATGAACCGACAAGCGAGCTGAAGCCTCCAGCGCTTGGGTAAGTTGCTGTACAACCTAGCGAACTTAGTCGCTCACTCACCATTGTCCCAGATATGCTATTGAAGACGAGGAGATGACCATTTGGCTTCTCGATCATGGAGCAGACCCAAACCGACAATGTTCGATTGACCTCACGCCATTGTCTTATGCCGTTGAACGTGCTTCGCTTCACGCCATCAAGCTTCTTCTAGATCGCGGAGGAGATGTCCGCAAGGGTGCTATTGACCGACAGGCGGATATCGTCGATGTGCTAGCCATGCTCCTTGAAAGGGGTGCGCCATTGAACTCGAAGATATATGAGAGTCATTATTTCTCATGGAGACTATATTACTTCATGGGTCTTGGCACCGCTCTACACAAAGCAGCAGAGTTAGGCAAGATAGATGCAGTGCACTATCTGATCAGCCAAGGGGCAGACACCAGCATCAAGGATGCAACAGCTCGGACTGCATTGGACTGTGCGACAATATCTGGTCATCTGGGAATTGTTAAGCTGCTTCAATCAGAAAAGGGAAAAATGCCACTCCTGATCACTATTTGTTAGTTGTTACCAGGGTTTGCAAAGTACCTTAGCTTTGCTAAAGCCTGTGCAGTAGTCATAAAACACAGACATTGTAAGCTTAGAGTTTCAGAATACTAGCAAAAACGACCATGATTCCTTCTGATGATGACCCAAGGAATCATCAAGGCGTGTCCATCACGTGATCTTGTGGCGAAAAAGGCGGTAAAGAAAAAGTCGCCCACGCTAACCACAACAGGAAAGTCCCTTATTCGCCGCTTCCTCTTCCTTTTCACTCGCTCATTTCCACTTTTTCTTGCCGCTGAGATCTTTTTTTCTTCCCTCCTCGCCCCCCCATCTCTCTCTCTCTTCATCCTCTACTCCGTACTTCTCTCTTTTTATCTGAGTCGGACACTGTTCCGTCTTCATCTCTCTCTCAGTAGTCTTGTTACCTACTTCAGGTACTTTCCAGTCTACTTGCTGTGACTTTTCTGTTCCCCTTTCTCCCTTCATCGTCGTCGTTTTCGGTTTCTCATCAAAACAACACAAAACCACACCATGTCTTCTTACGGTGGCGGTTATCAGCGCGAGTCGCGCGGCGATTCTTATCGGTAAGTTTCATCTTTCTTTACAAAATCCATCAAATTCCGGAGATATCGCAAGTGATGTGTTGTCGAAATGCATCGTCTTGGCCTGAGTTGGATACTGCGTGCTGGGATTCTCCCTCTGTCGCCTGTGGTCAACTCAACGTTGCTATGCTAGCGCTCTACGCGATAATAGCCTGCAACATGTCATGACATTTTGTTTGCCGTCGATCATGGCTTGAGTTATCTCTGGAAATTTCGATACTTCACATCTGTCGTTCAGCGCAATATCTAACAAATGCATATAGCTCTAGAGGTGGTCACAGTGGCGGTTACCAAAATGGCAACGGCTACTCCGGCTCTAACGGTGGTGGCTACGGCGGTGGCTATGGCGGTGGCTATGGCCGCGGTGGAGGAGCTGCTGGTGGTGATCGCATGTCAAACCTGGGTGCTGGCCTGAAGAAGCAAGAATGGGGTAAGTCGATTACCTTTGGTTCCCGTTCTGACTTTGATGCTGACTCGCTATCCCTAGATTTGGACTCCCTCCCCAAGTTCGAAAAGTCATTCTACAAGGAGCATCCCGATGTTGCCGCTCGCTCTGAGCGCGAGGTTGATGAATTTCGCAAGAAGCACGAGATGACTGTACAGGGACGCAACGTGCCTCGTCCCGTCGAGACTTTCGACGAGGCCGGTTTCCCCCAGTACGTCCTGAGTGAGGTCAAGGCTCAAGGCTTCGAGCGTCCTACCGCCATCCAGTCTCAGGGTTGGCCTATGGCGCTCTCTGGTCGCGATGTCGTCGGTATCGCCGAAACTGGTTCCGGAAAGACCCTCACCTACTGTCTCCCTGCTATTGTTCACATCAACGCTCAGCCTCTGCTCGCTCCTGGCGATGGTCCCATTGTCCTCATCCTCGCTCCTACTCGTGAGCTTGCTGTTCAGATTCAGACCGAAATTAGCAAGTTCGGAAAGTCTTCCCGCATTCGCAACACTTGCGTCTATGGTGGTGTTCCCAAGGGTCCTCAGATTCGTGATCTGAGCCGCGGTGTCGAAGTCTGCATCGCAACCCCTGGTCGTCTGATCGATATGCTGGAAGCTGGCCGGACCAACCTCCGCCGTGTCACTTACCTCGTTCTTGACGAAGCTGACCGCATGCTGGACATGGGTTTTGAACCTCAGATTCGCAAGATCATCTCTCAGATTCGCCCTGACAGACAGACCTGCATGTGGTCCGCCACCTGGCCCAAGGAAGTCCGTCAGCTTGCTACTGACTTCCTGAACGACTACATTCAGGTGAACATTGGTTCCATGGACCTGTCTGCTAACCACCGAATCACTCAAATTGTCGAGGTCGTTTCCGACTTTGAGAAGCGCGACAAGATGATCAAGCACCTCGAGAAGATCATGGAGACCCGTGGCAGCAAGTGTCTCATTTTCACCGGCACTAAGCGCATTGCTGACGAAATTACTCGCTTCCTCCGCCAGGACGGATGGCCCGCACTTTGTAAGTCTTTTCTGGATCATTCCTCATTTCCCAGTGCTCTTGCTAACAACAAGCTCAGCTATCCATGGTGACAAGCAGCAACAAGAAAGAGATTGGGTCTTGAACGAATTCAAGACGGGCAAGAGCCCAATCATGGTGGCCACTGATGTGGCTTCCCGTGGTATTGGTATGATTGAATCGCAACTTTCCCCCCTCCCCTCCCTCTTCTCCCTAATCTCCCTCACCCACATTGACGTCGTGTGACAATGGCACGGTGCTTGACTCTCTTCTAAAGAAACCATGTTGGTATAACATGACTCGTCCAGGCTTTGTCGGGTCTCTTGAAAATGGTGCTCATACCATGAGGACCTTGGACTTACAGTGCAGTGTAGCAGATTGATTCGTACTTTCTGTTCTGAGTTTTTCATCTCTGTTCTTGAACCTCGTTGGTCGAGAGATGGGCTTTCTCTCCCTTCGACTTGTTGAAGCTGCATTCCAAGGTTACTCTAGGACCGCGATCTTGTGCCAGCTGATGGACTCCGCCCACAAACGGATTTTGACCACAGAGTCCGTGAGAGAGTGATGCATCAAGTCTCACATGACTGAAAAGGGCGCCTTAGGCCTCGTTGCTATTTTGACTAATGCTCTGTTTGCTAACCTAAATCTGTTTAAAGATGTTCGCGACATCACTCATGTGCTGAACTATGACTATCCCAACAACTCGGAGGACTACATTCACCGTATTGGTCGAACTGGTCGTGCTGGTGCGAAGGGAACTGCCATTACCTTCTTTACCACTGAAAGTGAGTTTGTCTTTGTGACTACCCGTGTCACTCATGGTCATGACTAACACATTTCTTCAATGCAGACTCTAAGCAGGCTCGTGACTTGGTTACTATCCTCACTGAGGCCAAGCAGCAGATTGACCCCCGTCTCGCTGAGATGGTTCGCTACAGCGGCGGCGGTGGCCACGGTCACGGCGGTTACGGCCGCTGGGGTGGCCGCGGCGGTGGTGGTCGTGGTCGTGGTGGTAGCTATACCGCTTCCAACGCTGCCCCGCTTGGCAACAACCGCCGTTGGTAAACTGACTGATCTTGACCTTGACGCCCAGTCCGTCATTGTGCTTGTAACCCATCGTCACCGGTAGACCTTGCTTTTTCATGAGTTCCCTCGGGATTTTCTTCGTAATTCGGTACGGAAGGCGTTTTTCGATGACACGATAGACCTTTTTTTACTTTTTCGAGTTATTGTTTTGTTCTTACATATGCTCTTTGTCGAGCCCTGAAATCGGCCGCAGCAGGCCTCGCCGCTGCTGGAATCGTCTAATCTTGCAGATCCTATTCAGGCATTTTAATTGTGATCTCAAAAGTCGTTATCTTGGGGCCATTCGCTCATTCAATGTTTTTAGACAGTGCAATTAGTTTGCATTCGCATCAGTATTGAATGTTTTAGTGAATTAAGTTACAGGGGTACTATCCTCGTTTTTCTTAACAGTAAAATGTTTCGTGTCTATGTTAAGACCTATTGTAGCAAAGCTTCACCCATTGCATGTAGTTCGGTTTGAACCCATACTCGTCTTGCCTAGTTGGGATATTCCCAGTGCCAATAATCCACTAATTCATCCGGGGTGAGCACAGTAATGTGGGCTATGAAGACCTACTCATATTCGCTTCAATGCAGTAACCTCTATCCAGTGACTTCTAAAACAGTCAAGACCGCTCTCTTTAGGCTAGTGGTTTCATGTTATATGTACTCCTTTGTACTCATACCACGGGCGTCAAAGCACGAGGGTCTTGTGCGAAACAGCCACCAAAAACCGACAGGGTCACCTCGACCACGCCTTCAACTGCGCCTCCAGAATCTCCGCGAGTTTGGCATGGACATGGCTCGTCAGATGGCCCGAGTTGAACCAAAAGTACGTATCCAGCGGCGTGGGGCACCCATACGCCTGGTAATTCGTCTCGATGTCCGGCTGGCTGTACCCCACGCAGAAATCCGTCGTGTTGACGATGCCATACTGCGCCGGGTGGTCCATCATGTGGCTGAGCGCTGTGTGGGCGTCGAAGACGTGGACGGCGGTGTTGGCGTGGGCTCTTTCGAAGCTCTGCGCGTGCTGGGCCAGCGCGTTGTTGTACCAGGTTATCTGGGTTGCGTTGGGTGAGGGATTGCTCCGCGCTTGGTTGGCCGGGGTGCGGTCCAGAGGGGGCAGGTTCATGAGGAGGTAGGAGCGGTAGCCTAGGTTGTAGAGGATCTGGACGGAGGCGAAGAGCGTGGTCATGAGGCTGTTGTAGAATGTGGGGAAGTCGACGGCGTATTTGGCGGAGTCGTTGATGTCGTTGATGCCGATCCAGATGGCGACGAGGGTGCGGGGTGGGTTGATGATGTTCTTGAGCACGGGGTGGCCGTATTGCTCGTACTGTGTCACTTGGTTGACGAGGGAGACGGTGTAGTTGTGGTGCAGGGGGGTGCTTGTGGAACAGTCAGGTGAGTGGTGGGTTTCATCGGCGCGAGCGCTTGGAGAAGGGCCCGTACTATTCAACGGAGATGTCTGCTCCAGCAAAGGCAAAGTCCCACAGTTGCTTCTTACAGCTCAGTGGTGAGGTCAATCCTTCCTTGACTCCGCAGTTTGTCAGGAACTCGGTCCAGTTTGGGCCTCCCTCGGCCGTGGCAGTCTAGCAGGAAGCGTGATGCAGGTCAGCGTTCATGGCAGCCAGCAGTCTTCGTGAGCGCTGCGGTGGAGCGAACCTGGTTCTGAACAATCTTGTTGGTCAGTAACGTCTGCCTATCGTATGCGAAGTTCAGCTGGTCGCCGATGAAGCTGAAGTTCTGACGGCCATGTGTTCCTTGGACGTATGTGTATGAGTCGCCAAAGGCAAGTCTGCAGGATGTGGATCAGTGACCATCTTCTTTAAAGGCACAGGTACAGGATCATGAAGAACCGACAGATGTCTAGTGGCATCCCAGTCAAACGCGTGCTTGCT